TCCATCACTTCAAGGTGAGCAGAGCAGCAGCATCAGTGGAATGGCTGCAAGGAAGAACAAGGGGGAAACCCCCACCTCACTCTACTCTTGGCTCTGGGTGGGGCCTCAGGGAGATGAGTTCTGGAGTTTGGTGCTGATCGAGGTCTGTCCGTGACCATGCAGAGAACCCCCAGAGAGCTGAGGTGGGAAATGGACGCCCCAACCCCTTCATTCACCCTTGGGGCCGTGAAGCAGCTGCAGAGCTCCCTGCTGGCTCCACAGCTCCTTCAGGAGAGGAATGGGGGACAGGAGGGGTCACCCAGACCCACAGGCCCATTTAGGCTAAAAGAGCCCTCTAAGGCCATCCAGTCCAACTTCCTCCAGCTCTGCCAAGGCCACACTGACCCATGTCCCCAATCCCTCCAGTGATGGCAACTCCACCACTGCCCTGGGCAGTTGTTCCAATGCCTGCCCAGCCTTTCATTGAAGGAATCTTCCCTAGCATTCAACCTAAACCTTCCCTGGCACAAATTGAGGCCATTCCCTCTCGTCCTGTCACTTGTTACCTGGGAAAAGAGACTGACCCCCAGCCACATCTCATAAAGGACAGATTCTCCTTAGCCCTACTTTGGTTGCTGATATATTTACAACAGCATTTTTATTGTCTTTTATGGCAGTAGCCAGATCAAGTTCAGATTTGACCCTTCTCATTTTCTCCCTGCATAACYCCATGACACCCTTGTATTTATCCTAAATCGCCTCCCTGTTCKTCCAAAAGTCAAAAACTTCTTTTTCCCTCAGTTCCAGATAAAAGTTCAGCCAAGCCAGTTGTGTTCCCTGTCTCACGTTTTGGCACATAGGGACAGCCAGCTCCTGGGCCTTTTGGGTTGTCCTGGCTAACAGAACCATGTGTGGTCCTCCCCAAGGCCCTTTAATATATTCCCARCGCAGAAAGATGTGTCAGATCCCATTAATTCTTGAGTGAATGTAGCACGTCCCACCCTATAAGCCCCCAGTCTTCTTTTCCATGGTCCAGTGGCCCCACAGAGGCACTCCCCATAAATTGTCCCTGCTCTGCTGGGATGTGGGAATACAAGGGTTGGGTCAATCCATTCTCCCCAGAAATACCCGCGGCAGCAATTAATTGAACATTGCATTTTCTGAAGAAAAAGGACCAATATAAACTGAGCAGCTTGACAGTTTCTATGGTGTGAACTGGAAAAAGATAATGAAGCCTTTGTTAAAGGCTTTCCCCACCACCCACAGAGGGAAGGTCTCATTCCCGAGTGTCCTGGACCTCACCTGGCTTCTCACTTGTGCTGCTCTGTTTGCTGCCATCCCATCAGTGGCACGAGCAGCATGGGCTGGGTCAGAAACAGCCCCAAAGTGTCAGTCCCTGCTGCCTGTGAAGGAAACAGGAATGGCTGAGGCTGCTGACACATTTTGGGTTAAAGGGATGGGATGGGATGGGATTCATGGGATGAGCGGATGTGCAGGAAACTTTGGTGCTCTGGTTTTGCCAAGCTGGCCTGGGCAGTGAACAGATGGAGGATTACTCCAGTCCTATGCTCCTTCCATGTGCTTCTAGGCATGGACAAACAGCCAAAATGGGGGCAAAATAGCTGCAAGCATGCATTCAGTCTGAGCCAGGAGATCCAACAAAACCCCCAGTGACTTTAATAACCCCCATTAACTTTGATGAGCATCCCAGTTCCAGGCTGTGCAGCACTCAGGAAACATTTCAGTTACTGCAGCTGTGACAGGACTGTTCTGGGGGCAATTTTAAGAGCCAGTTGCTGTCTCTGTCACAGTGCTCAAATCCTTCCTGCATTGTCTTRTTACCTGCACAAGTTCCGTCCCCTCTTTTTCCTCTTCTCAATAAAGTTTTGCAAATATTTGGAGATTGGTCRAAGCTCCATAGGCTCCTGGTGGGAGGAAAACACCCCCAAGCCTTGCATGGGGACAGGGTGTCAAAAGGACCCGGCCACCGTGGGAATGCTCTGCCTGCCCTGGACAGAGGGCAGGATGGACACCCTGCACTAGTTCAGCAAGAAAACCTCCAGTTCAGSACCRTTCACTGCCCAGCTTTCCCCTGTGCCAGCCAGGGGGAATTGTTTGATTGTTTCCCCTGTGCCAGCCAGGGGGAATTGTTTGATTGTTTCCCCTGTGCCAGGCAGGATTGTTTCCCCTGTGCCGGGCAGGATTGTTTCTCCTGTGCCAGGCAGGATTGTTTGATTGTTTCCTCTGTGCCAGCCAGGGGGATTGTTCCCTCTGTGCCGGGCAGGATTGTTTCTCCTGTGCCAGGCAGGATTGTTTGATTGTTTCCTCTGTGCCAGCCAGGGGTGTTTCCCCTGTGCCAGGCAGGATTGTTTGATTGTTTCCCCTGGCAGGTTGGCCCAGGTATGAGGGTGCACAGCCCCGGTGCTGCCAACACTCCGTGGGTTCGCTCGGAGCTCCCTGGTGCTGGGGGCTCCCGATCCAGCTGCCATGAGCACTGGGACAGCCACTCCTGTGCTCCAGCTGGSCCTCTCCACGCTGCAGGAGATCCCTTCCTACCCACACAGGCCAGAGCTTGCCAAGGGCTGCTGTGGGCCAGCCCAGGAGTCACCTCTGTGCCCACTGCAGCTGCACAGGGACAGAGGGGCTCCAGTCCCAGCACGCTCCTCRTTCTTCAAGCCCGACGATGTTCTTGGTCGGTGGCAGGATTTAAACGAACAAAGAGCAGAGGGAAACAATGTGAAACACAGTTTAAATTAATTTTGGGCAAGGGGTGAAGGTCTGGAATTAAAACCAAACTGCTGTGTATGGAATACTGGAGACACCACAAGCAGCCCCAGGCAGGGCCTTTCCCACCAACATGGAAAGCTCCACAGCACTCMGAGCCTGGAGCCCAAATCAGCACATCAGGAGAACCCCAGGGCTSTCTGCACAGCTCCCTCAGAAGAACAGAGAAAGCAACACCTCCCCCCGCTGTTGTCTGAGGATGTAGGGGACCGTGGGGACAAGGCAGCAAAGAAAAATGCTTTAAGCTTCATTTCAGATCAGCTTACATTTCTTAGAACTTATTTTTTCCCAGTCTTGGTGGAAGAAAGGCAATTTTGGTGCTGAACAAAAACACAGCACAAGGCCTGCAGCAGGTTCTGAGGGCCATGAGCAGCATGGAGACACTTCAGTTTGCAAAACTAAAAATGTTAACTGAAAGTTTATTTTTTACTTGCCTGCTGTGCCTTATTTTCAATATTTATCACATCTAGCTTTCCTCCCTGTAACAAACCACCTAACAATGGTGACAATCAGGGCACAATCTGCTTTGCCATCATACAGTCCTGCTGCATCTCGGTGCAATGGAAGAAAGAAATACACCAAACCTACGGGATAATTACCCAAAGCAGGGCTGGGGGAAGAAACTGATTTGAAAGTGATTTGCTTTACTATAGAATGTAGAATTAAGGATGCTGCTTCTGTTAGAAAACCCAAGCCCTGTGAGCCCAGAGACCACTGTGGGAGATGTGATGGGCTGGATAGGGAGCGAGGTACCACACACTTCTGGTGGGGATTGGGGAGAAAAATGCTTCCCAACACAGAGGGAATTTTGTTTCAGAATGATGTGATTTGCAATACGCAAAAAGGAAAAAGAATGAACAAGCTCAGGCAGCAAGGAATGAGCCTGTCCTTATAGACACAATCAGGGTTCTAACAATTGAAAACCCAATTCCTCAGGTCTGTTGGACAGCAATGCATTTCCAGCGCCAGCTGGAATTTCTACTTCTGTGTAAAGAACTGCTCCCTTGGGCCTGGGGCCATTCTGTGTAAAGGATATATGAAAATGTAAAGGGTTRTGCATGGGACACCTGTGTCAGTGTTTCTGTAGAGCTGATCTGTGTCCATTGTGGTGAAACACTAACAGRAGCAGCAGTGTTCGGGCTTTTCCTGAAAACTAAAGACTGGCTCAACAGCCTCTGGAGGCACTTCTTTGGCTTCATCACTGAAATAGATAAAATAATGGAAGAGCTAAAATAATTATAAAAAGATAGCTAAAACAATGGAAGAGGTGAAAACACCAAACTTCTTAGCCCAAGGACTTGGAGCCAGATGAGGC